GGGGGGGGGGCCAACTTCCCCCGGGGTCCACCTATGCCACCTGTAGATGTTTGCAACAGTATGTCCCATGTTATGTTCAAACTCAAAAATGTTCCTTATTGAAATGGAATATGATTAATCTTTTATTTCAGCTCCTACTCAAGACAACTTAAATACGTTCGTGGAATACGTGTGGGCGTTTAATATTTCCCGAATAATAATGCTCACACCGACTGTAACATATAACACGGTAGGTTTAAACTTGCAAACATTGCATGTGGATAGCAACCAACAAGTATTTATTTTAACGTAACTTGTCCACAATATGGATCAAATGGAGTAACAATGCAATTTTTCATATCACTCCTCATTAATAATAATAATAATAATAGTAACTTTAAAAAAACTATATCTACTGCTATTTCCGTTGCTGCGAATTAACTTCTCACAAGTGTTGTGTATATAATTTGACATTTTTCTATGGGGACTGCGTAAATATAAACACATATTGTTAAGGAAACAATTTTGTGGTTCAATTTTCTACTTAGCGTCACTGCTATGAGTACTGGCCTACGTCTGTAAAGCTGCCTCTCAACTGTGGCGACATCCAGATAGAGCTGGTGGCCTCAGTGACCCGTGCAGACTGGATCAAGAGAACTTTAAGCTTGAGAAAGGTACGGTGGTGTCCCCTGCTACTTTTACAACAGCTTTGGATACTTACTTTACATCAGGACAGGCAGAAGTTAGTTGGCTAACTGGAATTAAAATTCAAAACCGTTTCACGTAATAAAGATGCACGATAAGGTCAAAGGACCAGTTATTATTTAAACATCGATGTGCAAGGCTTAAAATATTCGGAGAAAAAAACAAACAAACAAATAAATAAATATTATTATTATAAACCCCATCAGTTTTTACAACAAAAACACAGGCAGGTGCCTAGTCCTTAAAAGAAATATCCGTTTGTTTTGGGCCTTTTGAAATGAGTTTGCAAGTCGGTCATAATCTTTCATTCTCACCCTTCACGCCGGGTTCTCTTGCTATTCTTTGCACAGGAAGGTTTTGGGTCTCCCAGACAGATAGAACAATACCAGTTCAAATCCTCGCCTGACACGTGTGTGGATCCTTCTGTGCTGCTTAGCGTGCGACGGTACATACTTAAGTCAAAGAGAACCTGCAATGCCCCATGCGGCCCTGTACTGGTGCATGGAGGGTAGGTTGGGCCCCTATGGCATCATTCAGAATAGGGGACTAACTAGTCCGGGGGTCAAATATGGCCGACCCATTTGAATACTTCCCCACGGGATATCTATTCAATGTCTTGATCAGACGACAAGCTTTGTGGTGGGTCGCCATTTTTGAACATCGGACTAGTTAGTCCCCTATTCTAAATGGGGCCTATTCAACAGAGTAGGGCAAAAATCGTACCCAAGACAATTGTAAAGAATATCAGGTCCTAATAATGAGAGACCAATAGAATACAAAATCATGTTGTTACATTGTTCTCACAGTATTAGCAAATCATCTGCATGCTCATGTTGCGTCGGAAGACAGTATATATATTAACATTAGCGTAATCATTGTTTATTTACATTCAGACATAATTTTGACATGGCGGGCACATACATTGCTATAGAAGAGAGCCTGGACAGAATGGAAGACACCAAAAGCGTCCAGATATTTAACTTCGTATTACATCTAAGAAAGAAAAATCCTAGGATGGTGGAAACGCTTGTAAGTTAATAAGTTGATATCTTGTCCCCGGGACTAGCAGTCTTTCAAAATTTTAGTTAAAAGTGCCATTTATGCTCATCGCGAGTCTACTGAATAATACCCTGGCGTATCTTTAACTGAAAACATTTTAGTAAATTTATTCCATTCGTTCTTGTAATGATCTTATGACAGTTCTATTGTGGGTGTATGTATTTTATTATTTACCTGTATGAGGTGGCTAATAAGTAAATAAATGACATGTTTATATATAAATAGTAAGATATGGATTGATCATCAGATATTTTGAGCCTTCAGTGAATCTGGCAGTATTAATCTGTAGGTGTCATTAATATATTAATCTATTTTCTATGTAAATTTTGTATGATTTATTTTGCTTGCAGCAAAGTTACCAACTTATCTACCAAACCGTTATCTTGCATACTCTCTGTGATGATACTTCTCTGACAAGAAATAAAATGGACGGCCTACTGAAATTCTTACTTCTTCGCTGTCCAGATTCAGGCAAATCTGGTTTTGACGTAGAATTTGGGGTGAGACAAACTGCGAAGCAAATTTATAGACCTTTTTAGAATGGGGAGGGGGGATAATCCGAGGCAAAAACAAATGCCTTTGGTTTACAAAATCCTCCTCTTTTGTCAAGGTTAACCTACCGATTGTAATTTTAACATTCTGAGTAGTTTAATTTCACAATCGACACAGTTCTCACAATGATGTGTTCTCCTCCGTATATGCATAGATCAACACCACCATCTAAAAAGAAAGTGGGAAAATATTAATCATATATTGCAGTTTACCTGAAAACTTGTTTTCTTTTAATTAAGAATGAACTAATAATGTTGGGCACCTATCAAGAGGTACATTTGTTAGTATTATAAATCTTGCCAGAGTAAAAGGCATCGTAAATCTAAGAATTGTCATCGGTTGGTCTTCCATGAGCTGCTGAACAAGCTGACGCCCTCTCTGACGACAGGCGACTGTGCTGCTGGACACCGGAGAGAAAACAAAATGAAGAACAGACAAAATTATGCACTGCCACGTACGTATATGAGGAAATGTAAATTGTACAGAAATAAACAAAGGAGGATGTGTTGGACCAAGGTTATAAACGATGGAATAATCCAGCAATTATAAAACATCTGTGATTTCAAATAAGTTCAATGTCAATATAAGACAAAATACATCATTCAACCAGTTCATTTTTTCATTATAATTTCATACTCTAACATAATGTGATTATCTAGTTGATTTCTTACTGTGATCAAATATGCAAATTATGGCAAATTATCCCCAACTGAAAACGAAAAACCAAATGTCCTTTGTAAGGTAGCGTGGGTTGATGCATAATGCCATAGTCAGCCAAAGTACGTAAATGTTAGTCCATGAGAAATTCCAGCGAAAAGTTAGGAACTAAGAGCGCATTCAAATTGATCCGCGGGCTGATGTTCTGTGCTTTCAAGTGGTACACTGTCTGTATGCAGTGCTTTTGTAATTGATTTACCTGACGACTGGATTGCACAGTGTACTAAAGCTGTGCATGGCGTTGTTGTTAAAGGGTTACCTTGAATCTGTTCTTTAATCAGTTTTCCCTCAATATTGCCAAAATGTGAGATGAGAGCACTCCCTAGAATTTAATGCAACTGTTCAATAGTAGGAATAACGAACACAGTTATGGTATGCCATGTCTCATAACGGGCGCTGGTTTTCAGGGGATAGCTGCCGTCCATACCTGTCTACTGTGGTCGGCTACAGGGAAAACGACTACATCAACGCTGTTTATGTTAACGTGAGTACCCTGAAACATTCAGAGTTTTTAATAGAAAGATACACCAAAGTTTTTGTTCTTAAAATGACATAAAATTAAGCCACTATTTAAATTAGAAAATTATGTTAAAAGAACTAGGATCAGTTTCCGAAAGTGATGAAAAACATTGTTTTTAATATACCTAGAGTTTCCATCGAGAAAGGGAGTTCATCGTTACACAGTGGCCTCTTGAGAACACAAAGGACGACATGTGGAGAATGATGTATGATTGTGAAGTGGCAACATTAGTGCTGTTAGATCATATCACCACCAGGTTTGCCTCGTGGGTAAGTGAGGGGGTAGAGAAAGTTGAGGCTAGGGAGTTATGTTTTTCTCAATTATAGCAAAGAGGCCAATGTACCAGTAGAAGAGCAATATTTTATTTAGTTTCATTTTAATTAAATTTCTTACAATTGACTCAGCAGAAACAAAGTCCCGAAACCGTAGAAACTCCCCGCTGCTTCAGTATGAAAAAAAAATTCTAAGGTTCTTCTACTTTCGTTGCTCCGCCGTCATCAGTCATTTTCACTGTAACGAGAACTTACCCTGTGGCAACGAGTGGCAACCTAACATGATAATAGTTAAGTAATGTTTAACAAAAATGGATAAACCAGCAATATATATAAAGCACATGTTTGAGATTTTCTAAAGAATTATTCACAATCCAACGGCGGATGGTGGCCGTCTTCTGGGTCTTCCGGAAGACGATCAGAATTTTTCAACTTCACATTGACGGGCGGCTAATTTTTTTATCCGAAAACGGTCTAGATTTTTCAAGATTTCGTTAACGAACTTCTTGCTTTGTCTGTGACGGTCTTCCGTGACTTTCTTACTCACTGCGGTGACAGTAGATTTCATGAAACTGTAGTCCCCTAGTTTGGTTTAGGTGATATCAAAAGCTGATTCACTTTATCAAAATGACACGATTCAGAGCTGGACCTCTTAGGACGTGTGTTTTGACAGCCCCCCCATTGCAGAGGTGAGGATGCGTTGAAGGTATAGAGGGTATATGGTGGCATCCAGAACAGATGATCCTCGGATCTACTGGTCTGCGGATCAAAAATGGCGGACCCTACGTGGAAGCAAGACCTCTCAATCTCTTAATGGTCTTCCCGCCTCCAAACGCGCCTCCCCTTGGCGGGCCTAGCAATAAAACCTCTCAGCCGAAATTTTAAACTCTAGAATGCTTAATGGCAATCAACCAAAGTGAACAAAAGTTGTATTTATTCTTATTTTTTCTTTTAAAAAAATGAAAAATTCCTGAAACTGCCAATATATTGTGGTAGTCTCTTCAAAAGATCTCTTTGGTTTTAAATAACCTAGCTGCTATAATGTCCAGTGTCAGGTTATAATTTTTTGGAAAATGATAACTTAACAAAATGTAATATTATTTATTTCAATTGGGCATTCTGGCATTTATACCAGTTAAATCTTAAAATCGTATATGCAATTGTCATTGTAACATTGGTTGCCATGGCAACAGTTCATTGTATTTGTTTATTATTCAACTTAAATTAATATATTGAGTACCAAAACAGTGTCTGCCATTTCATATTAGTTGAAAAATTCATTATAATGCGTAAAAAATTCAAACTGTTACCATTGCAACAGCTATCAAAATGGTAGTTTCCATAGCTATAGATATAATCGAAGCAATTTTTTTATTTATTTTTAGTGATGACTCATTATTGTAGCATAAATTGCATCTAAAGTAGGGGAGACCGGGGCTAGTTGGACCCCGGGGTAAGTTCACCCCCCACCCCAATCAATTTATGAAAAAGTAACTACGGACCGTGACCGTATCCAATAGTGTTAAGAAAGCGTTGGTCGTATTGAAGTTTTATTTAGGCGGTGAATCCAAATGAAGGAATTTAACATGTTAAAGTGACTTTAATAAAGAGACTTAAAAATCTATTTTCATAAGCTTTTGATCGAATACAGTATATATGTATAGGGCATCAAACTGATGCTCATTGTTTCAAGTTTCACAGAGATGTATCATCGTTGCTCATTCTAGCACCATAAATGACTGCGATCCTTTACAATTAAAAATGTGCACCCGGGGCTAGTTCCCCCCTTGACTCGGGGCAAGTTGGACCCTCATATGACCACAATCCTTTGCGCACAACAGAGCTAAAGACCATTCTTAAAACAAACTCAATGGTTTGTTAAAGGTACATCCGAACCGAGCATAGGTGGAGTGGATGGATGGATGGATTCCCATTTACACATATAAACCACTTCTACTATTTTCTTATACGACTCAAATAAATTCGACATGCGAAGGGATAAACTCAATAGATCACTCGATCAGCAGTAAAAGAACTTTAGACTGCTCCTTTCTTTAATTTTTGGTCCAAAATTTAACCTACTTTCGTGACCTACTTTTCTGCCCCATTGACATACAGCATAGAATGCTAGCAGAAAAATTTGTTCAAACATCACTTTCAGGTGAAATTATACAATGCCTTTTGGTAATTCTCTTAGTTATACTACTTGAAACTATATGTTGGCATATGGTTGGCTTTTGTGGCCAAAAATACACTTTATATACATCTTTAAATAATTACCAGTTTAAAACTGAATTTGTTAGTTTCCTTTAAAACGAAAATTTATTATTCGTTTTCATTCATTAAAAACTTGCTTTATACCATTATTAGTTCATTCTTAATTAAAACAAAACAAGTTTAATTAATAGATATTTTGGTTCTTGTAACACATAGAGCGTGACATACAGAAACCCCATTAAATCTGCCTCACTTGAACTATTTATTCATCTAAGACTCTAAAAATCAATTAAATAAATCAAAAATGTGTAAAAATGTATTGCAAGGCGTTTACATGGGATACTCACTTCATTTTCGTAAAGGGTACCTTTGCTTTCATATAAGACGTATGCTTTCATATAAGACCATTTCAAAATTTTGTGGTCGAGTGGCGTAAATTTAGTTACTTTTGATTGGATTACTTGATTTTCAAAAAATAAATTGCTTTGGAAAGCTCTTGAATTGAACTATCTGATAATGTCCATTAGGCTGATAGGGGGCCTATCAATTTTACTTCGAAAGTTAGCCTGACCTCCCTAATATAAATTATTTTCAGCTTTGTACGTTTACCGACTAAAACTTAATTAAAATCTTTATTAAAAACATTTGAATCCACTTCTGATAACCATCTCATATTTCCGGTGATTCTGATTGTTTATGTATCTCTTTAAAATCTCTGCACCGGCATCGTTACAGATTAGAACATCACTTTCGGCCAGTTTATTACCCAAAGCAATCTAATTTGCATATAAGAGAAAAATGCAGTATATTTCTTGATTTCGAGTTTTGTACACATTTCCCACTATCTTTAAAGAGAAATACTCCTTTATGCTAAAAAAAGCTTTGAAAGATTTGATCGACACGCGCTATTTATTAATCAAATCACAGTAAAACAACTTTCATATCACAGACGAGAATCACGTTTCCACGCCGAAGTAAAAAAATTGTTAAATAGCGCTGATAACTGCACTGGCCGAAAGTAGGTCAATTGCCTGTATAAAAATCCCGTACGATTATCGATTTTTGTGTATGGACCGTTTTTGGGGAGACATATAAAAGAAAATTATCAAGATGGCAGCAAAATATTTAGGACTCTTGGAACCTCTGAAAAGCATAGTATATGAAAAAATTTTAAAGGGCGAAAAACCAATTAGTTTATCCAGTTTTGCGCCGTAAAAAATTGCAGACATCTTGGCAGAATCTTTATTTCACCAGTCTCTCCCCGAAATGCTGCAGACCGCGTAAACTGCTTCGCCATAGATAAACGCGTGATATGAACCAGCAAACGATAGTGTGAAAGAAACAAGGGGCAGGGTTGGGCGGATGAAGGGGGGGGGGGGGGGTTACTCCCGTCACTTTTTCCAGTCACGTCAGTCTTAAGAGCCGGATGAGTGGAGGGGGGGGGGGGCCGCCTTATATGTGTGTG